TAATATTTAATGGTTTAAATTTCAGAAAAAAAACAAAATATACATAAAATATATAAAAAATAATAATACTACTTAAATTTTACTTACCACTGCTTGATCCACTAGATTGCAAGAAGAAAAATGTGTTAAAGTGCTTCAAAGGGAAGAATGGAGGAAAGGGAGCAAGAACAACTTGCGAGACAAGAGGAAAATGAAAATGAAAGGAGAAAGACCAAAATGAAGGCAGAAGGGCTGGTCGGCAAGGCAATAGGCAAACTTACCGACGAAACCCACGTTGCTACAGTCTAAAGCTGATCATCTCTGCATTGCATTAGGATTCTCGTTGACAGGGCCAATCACCGACGAGCATCAAGTTGGCAATGCAACTATTACCGACCTGCATCTTATCGTTAAGGAAAATAAAAGCTGCAACACCAGTGGCCAACAGCCGGATTCGTGGGGAGTTGCTGAATGGAAAATTACCGACAATGATTATGTCGGCAAATTTCATCAAAAAGTTGCACTCCCTGACGCAGGCAGCTAGCTGGTTGGCGAGGGTGCATTGGGAGTGGAAATTACCGAGAAAATGAACGTTGGAAGTTCATCCTCAATTACCGACAAGACTATCGTTCCAAATTTAAATTTACAAGCATGGTTCTCGTCAGTGATATGCCTTTCCGTCCTTCCCCCACTGGCCGGAGTGGTGGCTGCAATTACCGACGAGTAACATGTATGTATAAGTTTGAATTACCGACAAGTGTTACGTCTGTACACTAAATAATATATCTTACTTGCATTTCTACTGTTTCTCAAGTTGCAGACTTGATTCTTGTTGGTAAAATGATGCTTCATCGAGAAATCTTCTTACCTCGGTGATATTGGGTCAGTGAAGCTAGGTTTTGTTGTAGTGTTTTTATTAGCATATGAGCATGACTAGTTGGAAATGAAGTTTTTATTATTATTTTTTTATTGAGTTGAGCATGCCTTCATGGAGTTTACTTGATTGTCCTAATGATTTGAAATTGGTTTAGAAATTATGAATATTTTTGTTGACTCCTGCATGGTTTTGTCTCTAATATGGTCATGATTCCTGAAACCTGCCAATGGGAGTTGTAAACGCTGGCATATCTCAACATATATTCCTAGAAACCGGTTTGTCCTGATTTGTTCCTGTTATTCTTGCTAGTGGGATAGTACACTAGTTATTCTTGATGCATGCTAGTGTTAGTTTGTTAAACACTGGTCATAACTAATTAAGGAGACTACTAAATAAATTTTACTATGCATAAATGATTTACAACTAAGATGTTCTTCCTATTTACAATGTTTGCTTGGTATGCTTTAAATTTCAATGAGGCTTATTCGTATTCCTTATTGAGTTATCTCACATAGTTGTTTTTCCTCGTTCACCATTTCAAGTAATGAGACCAGGGATGTGGGAAACCAAGGGACGTGACAAGCTAGAATGCTAGCCACTTGTATTTTGGACTTAAATTATTTTGGACTTAAATTATTTTGGACTTAAATTATTTTGGAGTTAAGCTGCTAGTCAAATTATTTTTGGACA